AAGCAGAAGGATGCGAGAAGAAAGTGGTGGTCAAAGGAGACAGCGTCAATATAAATATAGATAGCTTTAAGGAAGGTATCTCTAAAGCACCGTTGGCCATAGATTGATCAATGCGCTCTTTTAGACGATCATCATCCAGTGTCTGATTATACCAAGTGAAACTAGAGCCCTTTGATTCAAGTCAAATAGATCACAATCCTAAGTAAATTTTTGGAAGTTGGGAATTCTTCGTATAGACTTTGATCTACCCCTAAATTTTTCAGACAAAGATAGGAGATCATGGAAATACCCAATACATAGCCAAGATGCCTTCAATCTTACGGTTATCTTCAAAATCTTCTACCAGAAAAGTTTTCTATCAGATTCGATAGGTGGGCCATAGATGAATGTGATGAAATCTGGACACTCCTAGACTAAGGACTGTAGACTGGAATGAATATAGTTCTTTAAGAAACCGAGCACAGCAATATTAACTCCATCCTTCTACCATAATGCTAGACCCCTAGAAAGACCTACTGAATCAGCATATTTAGAGTAGGAGTAACCAAATTGACATTGCATTCTTAAAATAAAGGGTGCTTACTTCATCTCCATAAGGAAAACCACGGATGGCTTATTCATGGAAAGCACATCCTTTAGATTGCGAACTGCCAAAGGCTTTCCAATTCCTTGGCAGTTCCAAGAAAGGATATTTATGGCTCCTTGGTGGCTGCTGTAGACTAGCCACCAGTGCCTTCAGTATTTGAGACAAGAAGAGTAATAGAATCCACACCATGAAAGACAAACCAATCATCAGGAAAATCAATTTCTTCTGATATTGGAACATTTACTAGAGATAAATCTGAGGCTTTATTCAATTGAGAAGTTGTAGGTGCATTACAATTTGATTTTAGGAGCTTTGCTCATGCTTTTGGCTTTCAACCTCTTTTCTTTTTCCCCAAATCACTTAGCAAGATCTCTCTAGATTGAATAGGGACATTGACAACGTCCGTATCAATAAAAAACTTCCTTCATTTCAGATTGCGAGGAGACAATGTTTTGTGATGGAATTGCAAATTTTGTCACTCACGTTTTAGTGACAGTGTTTTCACCGATGAAAATATTTTGTCACTAATTTCATCACCAATCCATTTAGTGATGGAATTTTCACTGATTAGCGACGAAATTTTTTGCCGCTAATCAGTTGTTTTTTTTTTTTTTGTAGTGGGTAACTCACAAGACTCGAAGAAAGAACTCCTAAGAGAAAACATTGCCGCAGGGGGCGACAATGGTTGAGAAACCAAGAAAAGAAAATGGTCACCTGCTGCCATAGGTGACAAGACGCACACCCTCATAGAGAGAGAGAGAGAGAGAGACAAAGCCCTGTGAGAGAGCACAATCCACTATGTCAAAAAGGTATCTCTTAAAAAGTTTATATCTTTTCAATTATACTTTTATCAAATGCATTGTATAAATGTTATAATAATAATAATTGAAATCTCAATGGAAGAATGATAGAGAGGTTCTAAAAGGATATATTAATTCAACTTACATTCCAAGTGCCAAACTCCAAGAATTCAGGCTTGGCTCTCAATTTTGTAACTTTATTGTAGTAATTTGTAACTTGTTTTTTCAATTTTTAACATGATTGAATAATAAATAAATTTTTTTTGTTAAAATTTGGAATACAAATTGCAAACTCATCACAACAAATCATAAAATTTAGAACCGAACTTGCAAATTCATGGAATTTGGCACTTGGGATCTAAGTTGGGAGGACTTATCTGTCATTCTCCTAATCTCAACCAGCATTTTTCAAAGAGTCATAAATAAAATATGGATATAATTCATTTTTCAAAGAGTCATAAATAAAATATGGATATAATTGAAAAAATGATTGTATCTAGTATTCTCTATTTTAGTTTAATCAAAGTTTCTAAACACTAAAAAAAACTGTTGATTAGCGACAAAAAATTCCATCGATAATCATTGAAAATTTTGTCGCTAAATTGGTTAGTGACAGAATTAATGAAGGAAAAGTTTCTTCAATAAAAACACCGTCACTAATTAGTTAGCGGTGGAATTGATAATTTCATCAATAATTAGTGACAAAAAAAATTTGTCACTAATCCGTCATTCCATTGCTAATTTTTGGGATAGCATATTCCAACTTAGTGATAGATTAGCAATGGAAATTCTATGGCAAATTAGCAATGGATTAGTAATGAAAATTTCGTGGCAAATTAGTGACAGAATATCCGTCACATATGTTCATCAAAATTAGCAATGGAAATTCCATCACAATTTCATCGCTAATTTTCTTAAAAAAATTCTATATAATTTTTGAATTTTTTATTATATTTATAGGTAGCATTTTTTATATACCTAAATATTTATTGATTCTATTAAAATCATTGTAAAACAAGCAATTCAAATTTACTAAATAATTATACCATAGATCAAACATTTCAAATTTATTAAAATAGCATAACTGAGTAGCAAATTAAAATAACAATGTCACAGAGTCTAAAGAAAATTACAACAAAGTAGTTTCAATAAACAAGTCATAATAGGAGGCAACTAATAAGCATCCTTTTTGCTCAAAATCCCTCATCATTTCTAGAATTTGAATTTTCAAAGTTCTGTGATATTTTCTACTCCAATGCTTCCAACCTAGACAAGATATTCATATTCAATTATCTAAGATCTTTGTTCTCTTGTCTAAACTTAATGACTAGCTCTTGTTGCTCTTGTCTAACCTCTGTGACTATTCTCCTATGCAATTCCTCTTCAAACTCAGGATGAAACCCTAAGTTGTTGATGAATGAAGATGACTTATATGAATAAGAGGTAGAATCAATATCCAAAGTCTCAGATCCTAATCCATATATGCAACCCTTCTTGTTCTTACTATCTATGGCCTCTAACCATAGGTTAATTTCTTCTTCATCATCTAAATCATTTGATGCTACACTTGGAGAATCTATGTTAGAACTTCCGAATGCCTTAAACCTCATGTAATAATCCTATTAAAGAAAGTAATGAGTATACAAATTCCTTTACAAAACTCAAGTAATAAGAGCAAAGGGACATGTAAGTATTAGATACCATGAGAAAACAAGACCACTAAACAAACAAGTCAATTTGATCGGTGAAGGTTTGACCATCTTTTTGGCTTTTTTTTTTCTGTTAAACACCTACACACTCACAATAATAACACCTAACAAGCACCTAGATACTTAATTAAAACGAACAATTGTAAAAATTATCTAATATTTTGTATTTTAGTTTAATCAAAGTTTCTATAAAAAAATGTTTTATATTTGCTGTTGGGAGGGAATAAATACAAATAAACAAAAAGTCATCTTGGTTGTGTGTTGAAGAGGGTTTTGGAAGTTGATTAGGATATTAAATTATGTTGCACAGTCTTCAAGTTACTGATAAAAGGTGCCTTCTAGGGACTCGATGTCAGGAGAGGGGTCTCCATTTTTTTCCTTCCAATTTTCCTCCATTTCTTCAATCCCCACCATTCAAATTATTTTATTAAATAATTTTTTTAAATGATAAAATTAATGAATGGTGGAGATGGGGGAAATGGAGGAAAATTGAGGGACAAAAAGTGGAGAGACCCCAAATCCCTCAGTTTCATGGTGCCCAGCACCAAAACAGTGTCCTTTTAGTGTTAAAATTTTTCTTTTCTTTTCTAAATCACAACTTATTATTATAATAATAAATAAATATCATAAAATTATTATTTTAATATTTAATAAATAAATAAATTTAACTTATTGAAATTTGACCTAAACAATTTAAATATAAATTTTGATATGAATAATTGAAGAAATTTAAAAAAAATAACCTAAACAATTTAGATCAGTGGTTGAGTCTAGTAGAATGAATTAGTTTCTGACAATGTAACTAATCAATATTTAAATTTTTTCTATAAAAAAAAGTTCTTTACATGATATTACCTCTAATAGATTGATAACTGTGCAAAATCAATAAAATTAAATTTATAGTTCTAATTTTTTTAGTACAATTATAAATTGTTTAGGTCAAAATTTATATCTTAACTATAGAGGTCAAATTTTAAAAATTTAAATTTATTTATTTATTTATTAAATATTAAAGAAATAATTTTATAATATTTATTTATTATTACAATAATAACGTTGTAGTTTGAAAAAATTAACACTGAAACGACAGTGTTTTGGTGCTCAGTGCTCATCGAAACGGAGTCCTTCCCTCGGCTCTGGAAGTTGATTAAAATATGAATATGTACATATATTACTTAATATTTTATTCGAAAAGGGGCACACGCCCAATTATTTTATGAATATGCGTGAGCCAATTATATTAAACAAAAGATAAAAGTAAATATACATAAGTATTAACGAAAAAGCACATGTGGAGGAATCCACATGTTTTCCTTAATAAGGTTCAGCTAAAAGCAAAATAACTTTTCGACCCAAAAAAAAAGAAAAAGAAAAGATAACAAGATAACTTAAAGGAAGTAAAATAATTATTAAAAAAAAGACAATAATGTCTTCCGATATTTGGATGTGCTGGTTGGATATTCCATTATAATTTGATAAAATTATACTACATTTGTCCTAAATTATATAGCACTTTTAAAATAGAATTCTTTGTTTCAAAATATAAAATATTTTAAGTAGATTAATGTTTATGAGTTTCAATGTTACTCTCTCTCTATCTATAATCAATTTTTAATATTAGTTTCAATATTTTGAGTATTTTTAAAAGCTTGTATTTTTGTTTTAAAAATATAATGTTATTAAATATATTTAATGAGATTTATTAATATATGAGATTTTACTTATAGGTGTCTTGTAATTTAAGATGGAGGAAATATTATATTAAAAAAATGAATATGCGTGAGCCGCGTTTGGCATCTTTATTTAAGATACGAATATTAATTATTATATGAAAGAACTGCTTGTCCCTATAAAACACCGACCACTTCAACCCTTAACATGAATCCATTGAAACCTTTCTCGACTTTTCTTCCGCCTTCTGGTAGGGGGAGAAAAAAAAGATCTCTGTATCGATGGACATGGAAGTAATATCACGAGAAGCTATTAAACCCTCTTCTCCTACTCCTCCTCATCTCAGAATCTATCCTCTTTCGTTTATAGATCATGTCTTTTTCAGTCACTATGTTCCAGTAGTTTACTTTTTCGAGCCAACCAATACTGAAGAAAGATCTGATGAAGTGGTCAAGAAATCCTTATCTCAAGTTCTTGCGTTGTACTATCCACTTGCCGGTAGAATCAGAGATCGAGCTTCCATAGAATGCAACGACGAGGGTGCAACCTTATTAGTCACTCATATCAAATGCGATTTATCAGGTTTTCTTCGAAACCCATTAAAGGAAGAACATCTCAATATGTTATTCCCTGACGAATTGCCTTGGAAGAAAGTGGATCCTCGTGGCCCATTGTTCGCTGTTCAAGTCAACCATTTTGTCTGTAGAGGAATGGCTATCAGTGTGTGTGTCTCTCACAAAGTGGCCGATGGCAATACGATCTTTAACTTCGTCCAAGACTGGGCCACCATTACCAGAAAATTTGAATCTTCTGATGACAAGAAAGAAGGAGAAGAAACAGTAATCATCCCACGATTTGATGTAGCGTCAATATTCCCACTTGGAGATTTACCATCTTACCCAGAGCTTGATATTCCTAAAGACAATATTATATGCAAAAGATTCATACTTGATGCCTCATTGATTCAATCCCCCAAGGCCATGATATCTCAGAAAGTAAAAAATCCCACACGCGTGCAAGTTGCGAGTGCTCTTCTTTACAAATCCGCAGTTTCAGCTTTAAGTTCATCTTTCAAATCACCGATCAACCAACCCACAAGGCTTTGCTCATGGGCAAATCTTCGGACAAGAATGTCTCCTCCAGTATATGAGAAGACCATAGGAAACCTGATTTAGTATTTCTCAGTATCCGTTACGAAGGAAGAAGAATTGAGTGAGTTGGTCTGCAAAATGCAGCATTCTTTGACTGAGTTTTGTGATACTTATGTTGATCGCCTTGGGAGAAAGGACAAGTCATTCATCTCGGAGATTTTGCAAGAAGCAACTAGTTGGGACCCAGATAATAGCAATATGGTTAATGTTGAGATTACGAGTTGGTGCAGGTTTCCACTTTACGACGCAGATTTTGGGCGGGGGAAACCGATATGGGTGACCACTACTTCTTACCCACAAAGGAATAGCATGTTTCTTACAGATTCAAGAGATGGTGAAGGGATTGAAGTGCTTGTTAACATGGAAAAAAAATGAGATGGCCTTGCTTGAGCGTGATGTGCTTCAATATGCTTCGGTTTCTCCTGATGGTGTATAACTAATTATATGTGTTGAATGTTTGTTTCATTGAAGAGGTTGCTGAGGATTGTTGTGCGTTGTTTTGTTGTTTAAATTTTATTATCATTATCTTGTATTTTAATTAACGTCCCTTCTAGGTTGATACTCTATGTAAAGCCCATAAAAGCCTGGGGTTAGTGTTGGTTGTTTATGTTTAATAAGCATTTGATTTTATTGGATTTATTGCTAAAATATTAGATTTGGATATAGCCTATGTGATATGTTTTTTGGTCATGAGTGTATTTTAATTTTTTCAGAGAAATGTATTTTGATAATTTTTAAGTATTGATGAAATTCATTGAATTTAATTGAGACATTTGCCAAGTGAACAAATTTAAGTCATTCATAAAATATCAGTATGTTAAACCCAAAACTTCTTAGATTTGGCAATTATATTGACCCAATGAAGAAAAAGTATATCAAATAAATTTTTCGTATGATATTGTCCTCTCTCTTATAGATTCTAATTACAAAAATAATATCATTTGATGTTTGATAAGCATTCATACTTTGTTTTAAAATTCGGACAACCTAAAACCCAAAAAAACTAATGGTCACAGTTTTCATGATTCAATTAGTAGTTAAATAAGTAGAACTAATAGTATAATAATTAAATTTTAAAAATAATATTATATGTATATATTATATGTGTGTGTGGTAATATTATTGAAGTATTCAACTAATAAAATAAAATTAAATGAAAATTTACAAAAATAAAATGTAATGTCAGAAAACTGGAAATTTAAAACAAAGCTATTAAAAATAACATTTTGTGTGCGTGTGTGTGTTTTGGTGATGAAATCATGCCTTCAACCATTTATCATTCCCAAATGAAAACGTGCAAGAATAGAAAGATAATTTTTCTGGTCCTATTTATAAATAGAGAGAGAGAAATTTTTTAGCCCTATTTTTAAGTCATCTCATTAAATTTTTATTGCAAATTTTTTCATTTAACTTCTACTAAATGTTAGAGAGAGAAAATACACTGTTAAAGCATGTATATTTAATAGAAGTAAAGTTAAAAAATTGTTGAATTTTCAGACACAATTAATAAATTTTAAGGTTTTTCTTAATTCAATAAAACATTATAGAAATGTTTTATAAATAAGATCAAATTATATAGAAATTAAAAGTCATGGTTTGCAAAATTATTATAATATAAGTTAAAGTATATATTTAGTCCTTTAACTTTATAGTATAAAATTTCATTTAGATCCCTTAATTTTATAAAGTTTTCTTTTTTAGTTCTTTAACACTAAGATCATTAATTTTATCACAAAAAAGTTATACATTAAACTTTCAAGGTTTGACAAAATATTCTCAAATGTCAATATATCTAGCTTAATTTTTCTTAAATAATAATGCTTGGCTCAAAAAGTAATTATTGAAAACTAATGATATCAGAAGTAGAATACTAAAGATATGCTTTTTAAAATTAAAGAATTAAATTAAAGATTTACAAAAAATTAAAGATTAGAATTTAGAGGATTAGAAGTGTACTTTAACTTATAATATATTTTAATCTTTTCCAAGTCTTCGAATTTCTTTTTATTTACCAGCAGTCCAAAAGTAGTCTCCCCTTAATTCATCATGTCGCTCACTCTTTTAGCGTTGTATGTTTCTTCCTTCTAGATCCAGTGATGTCCGAACCTTACATGCGTGTCCGACTCTTCCTCGTTAACGCCAATAGCAGACATTAAAGAGCCCAAATTTGGTGTTTTCAACTATTTAGCACGTTAATCACACAACACGAGCCAATTCGACAACCACTGATTACTAACTGCAATAAAGCACTCCCCCCCCCCCCCCAAACAACGTCTTCTTTGCATGTTCTAGTATTCTCAATGACTACTCTCTCTAATCCTATTTATAAATATTTTTAGCATGTTTTGTTGAAATTAAAGAAAACTTTAAACTTCATTAACTTCATCTTAAAATTTAATAAGTTTTCACCTTTATCCCTAATCTCATCAAAATTAAAGAAAACATTAAATCTCATTACTAACATTTTTTATTCAAAGCATTTAATAATAACATAAATGTAAAGAGGAGCAATGAAAATTGACAAATGCTTCATAAATAGGAACAAATTTTTTTGTCTCTCTATGCCATAACTATAAATATCACTATATTACTTTGGTTGGCAAGTAATTAAGTGTATTCAACTATATATTTATACACTGTTGAGATCAATTTCTGCATTAATAAACTTGAGATTGTATTGCAATTACAAGTATCTTATTTTAAACTTACAAGAGTATAGTTAAAAATCTCAAGTGGTTATTTTAGGACTAAACTTAAGTTATGTGGTTGGATTGAACCAAGATAATGCGCTTATCTTCTTCATTCAAACCTCATTTAAATGCTCATTTTACATTATGCTATTCTTTCTCATGTTGCACTGTTTTATTGGTTATTGGAAAAAAATTGTAATTTTATAAGACATGCAATTCCCTCCTTTTAAGGCCAGCCTTATCTAACAACCCTGTCCTTTGATGTGTTATTAGTTATTGGCAATTTAAGATATTCAACCTTATACCCATCCAAGCTGACTAGGCACCCCATCCCGATCATGTAGAGACGGGTTTTTCTTAGCCAAATAAAAAAGTGATGCGACTTCCCAAGACAAGAAGAAAAAGGTTTTGGGATAAGACGGGACTTGGGATTACCCTTGGGACATCTGTCCCATATGTTATATATATATATATATATTAAAAAGTAGGCATTAAATATATTAATATTAATATTAAGGGTTAAATGGAAATATAGTTCCTAAACGAGAGGCCTGAGGGCAATTTTGTAATAATTCAAGAATTTTAAGTTAAATTAAATACATAAGTCTGTGTTTTAATAGTAATTATATTAGTCTTTGAAATTATTATGACAAGAAGAAAAGTTGTTGTAGTGGCAACTGAGCAAATATTCTCCTAATAGGTTTGAGGTTCCAATAGGTCTGAGGTTCGGCTGACGAAAGAAAGGAAATTTTATTTTGTATTCATGCTTTAAGAAATTACTAAACTACTCTTGTCACACCAGATTTTTTTTTTTTTTTTTACTCTTCTTCCTTTCATTCTTCGATCGTTCTGCAGCAGAGAGAGAGAGAGAGAGAGAGAGTTGAGAGCGATCGAACCTTGCCCTGTCACCTTCTATCTCTGCCTTCTTTGGTCTCAAGCACTGTCGCGCTGCCGTTCGTGTGAGTCATCGTCGCTGATGTACCTTATGTCGTTAGCACCGCCATTGCTGAGTTCTTCCTCTATTTCACTATCGTTCCTCCTCCTCTGTCACTACCTCAAGTATGTTCAACTTCTCTTCCTTTCTCCTTGCTGTTTCGTGTGTGTGTAATTGATTGGATGAGCTAAGATTTCTTTCTTCTTCTTGCTTATCCTGTCATCACCGATCTGTTCAATTTTCTTCATTTATAGTGATAGTCCCTCCTTTCCACTGTTCATACATGAAGCTACCTCCTTCCTCCTCTTCTCATACATGTGGGACCTTTAAGGTTAGAAACTTGATCTTATCTCCTTTCCTTGGAAAATTTCCGTACGTATGAATGGATGAAGAGATGGAGTTGATGCTGAAAAATTGTGTCCTGCAGATGCTGCTGTTAGTGCATGAGCTTTTCTTCCTTAGGTTCGATCACCTTTCTTCTTTTTGTCTTCTTTATGGTTGCTGATTCGTGTATGAAATTTTGCACCCTTCATCTTGTTAATTTGTTGTGCAGACATTTTTAATGGTTGAAGCTATAGAATTTTAGTTTGTTTTGCTACTGCTTATGTGTTTTAGAGAATAAGAAATTCAAATGTTGAGCTGAAAATTCATTTTAAAGCTGGACACTAATCTACATGTGGTCATAATTTCTGGAATAAATTAACTTGGTTGGAATGATTAACCTTAAAGCAATTTTTAGAATGAAATTGGAAGAGAATAGCTTAAATGAGACACTTGGAATTTAACGTCTATAAGGTGTTTGTTAAAAGGTCTGTTTGGAGAAATTGAATTTGATTTTGAACATATTGAAATTTCAATGATTTTTATGATTTGTATGTTAATGGTAAAGTGTTGGATATTTTAATTGAATGATTAGAATTAATGCACCTAAAGTAATTGGTGCAAAGCCTAAGAGAAAATTTTTCCTTAAATAAGTAACATGTTATGGCAAAAGCTATATAGAGAAGGTTAATAAGATCAATGAAACTACTTAGGCCAATTCTAAAGCATGAATCATAATTTTTAAATTTTTGATGATGGTGGTTGATTTGGAATTGTGTTAAAAAAATTAAAAATTTATAAAATTTTATTTATTTATTTATTTGTATTTATATCCTTATAGGGTGTTTAGAAGAATAAGACCTTGACAAGAATTAAAGGAAGAATAACTTTGAAAATTTGAAACTCCAACGAGTAAGTGAAAAACATCCCATTTAATTATTTATTAATAATCTTTTGTTGAAATATTTTATTTTTATAAACTATGTCATTTTAGAAATTTTGGAACAATGATGAATGGCAATTAAATTATGATAGGTACATTTATTTACCTCAAGAAATATATTTCTAACATTGATGAAGGCATCTTTGTTTATTGAAATTCAAAATTTCTTGCTTACACAATTAATGAAAGTTTGTACATTCACTTTGATGTATTAATTTGGCAATTTTTAATATTTGTAACAATTCATGCGAGTTTGATATTGAGAATAAAAATTTTATTTTAAAAATAATTATTTCTCTCACATGTTTGAAATTTAATTTTTAAGAGGACTCTAGATAGAATAATGTTGCTAATGGTAGTTAAATTAGCCAATAGTGCACCATAGTTAATAACTAGCTAGTTTGTTTCGTGGGCTTTGTCCTCACGTTTGTGATTCGTGGGCTTCATACTTGCATTTGGTTTTTATGGCTTTGAGCCACATTTAGTTAGCATTACCTTCGTGGACTGTGTGTTCACGTTTGTTTCTTAGCTTAGGCTGCATTTGGTTATTCAGCCTTGTGGACTATGTGTTCACATTTATTTTCGTGGCACAAGACGTGTTTGGTTATTTTACCCTCATGGACTGTGTGTCCACATTTGTTACCTGTTCTGTTGAGTCCTCACAATTCTAAATTTGGACAAATTTATATATTTGAAATTTTAATCATTTCAGTTGTTAGTATGTTATCTTAATCCACGTATCTATAAATTATTTTTCTTCTACCATG